TCTCTCTCCTCTGCCGCTGCACTGGCCCTGGGCGCCATCCCCGCTTTGGGTGCCGGGGTATCGCTCCCCTCAGCGGGCAGCTCCAGGCTCAGGGAATCAGCCAGGGCCTGGCGGATCTGCACCACGCTGGGGCTGTCTGCATCCAGAGAGTCGCAGCTTTGCCGGTTCTCCTCCACTTGTGCTTTCTGCTCCTGGATGGAGGCTTCCACAAGGCGGAAGATCTCATTGCCCTGCGTGGTCTCAAAGGTGAAATTTCCAGGTCCTGAGTCACAGCGCCTGCCAGCTTCGAAGGAGAACATCACCTGGGGGGGAAGCGGAAGGGTCACATCCTGATCAGCACCTGCCAACCCAGTGCATCGTGCAGGCTGCGTTTCCTGCTGAAGAGCGTGTGGCTGTGGCACTGATCCTGCACATCCTGCAAGAGACTGCAGTGAACATCCTGTTCCTTCCAGTCCCGCAGCAAGGGCCACCCTGGGGGCCCGCTGTGACCAGCGGCTGGGCAGGGATGCACACCTCAGGGGACATCACTGCAAGTGCCCCAGAGGCAGAGCTGCAGGTCCTGCTGGAGACCTGCTGCCTTACCTGAGCAATGCCAGCAGCATCAACCACTGGCACCAGATAGTCTAGGAAATAATACTGAGAAGGGACTAGGGTGAGCAGATGAGTGACAGTTCAGCAGGGGAAAACTACTATGGGCACCCTGGGTAAGGTAATCAGACAGAAGGGAGTGATTTGGAAGTAAGAGATACAAGAGGAAAAACAGGGCTTTCCACAGGAGAAAGCCCAGAAGCAACAGCTCGACTACCAAGAGTAAGCAAAGCATTTACCTACCAGCATTGCTCTGTTAATGGTATAAGGTACTTTAAAGAGAAGTCTTGCTCAGGCCTGAACATACTCTGGTACACAAGTTCCCACCAGCAGATGCCCATACCCTTCCTGAGCCTCAGTCCCTGAACCAGGGGAGATTTTCTGCCTCCCTGGTGCTCTCGCAGGCAGCAGCAGTCCCTGGGGTTGCTACAGAAGCCTCTGGGGCCAGACTTCCTTTCGTGGGTCAGTGCTGCCAAACACAAGCGCAGTCAGCCCCTCTCTGCTCAGGGACCTGTGGGTGCAGCTGTCTGCTCCCCACACCCTGCAACTCTCCTCCTGCCCCGGCACAGACCCTGTGGATGAGCCAGGTGGCTCCCCAAAGGCAGCTCAGTTTCCACCTCTGTTTTGGGAACGTGCCACAGAGAGCACCATTAGCAGAGTGCAGCCAACACCATCACTGCTATAAACAGCCCTAGGGACACCACTTCCTCCCCGCCCAGCATGACAGGGACCTCTTGCACTCGGTAGCAGCAAGGCAGAGTGGGGACTCACTGCTGCAGGACTCCAGAGAGGGGACAGACCTCCAGGGGTCAGCTTGGCTAGGACCAGTTCTCCCCACACACTGAACAAAGCCAGAGCAAGTGGTGTCTCAAAGAGCCCCTCTGCTCTGGCCACCATCCTTTGGGAGGGAGGGACTGAACCCAGGGCAGAGCCAGGACTGCCAAGGTCCCCAGAGGCTAGGGAGAGCTTGTGTGCAACACAGAGGGATGTGCCTGCCCACAGCACAGGCTGGGGAGTACTGGGATGAAGAAAGAGAACGAGCCAGTGGCGGGATGTGCGGCAGAGGCTGCAACGGCCCCAGTGGGAGTGGGGCAGTGACCACAGAAAGGGGGTCTGCACAGTCATGCAGAGGGATGCCTGCCCACACTGCCAGCCCATGCTCCAGTGTGGTGACACAGGAGGGAGCCGAGGATGGTCAGGGTGACAGATGTCCCGGGTGACCCTGCTGCGGTCACCGGGGCTGCAGCAGTTCTGGCATTCGGCAGGGCTGGCTGCGTGGCTGCTGCAGGCCAGTCGGGCACATCAGCTCCTCACCCGTTAGCAGTGAGCAAGAGCTTCCCCACCAGGGAGCAGGTCATGGCACGTGGCACACGGGGCCCCCTGCTCCTCACCTTGTCCCGGCCGTATCTCCGGAGCAGCCGGTAGGGCCAGACGTAGAGGATCTCGTTTGTCCGCGGGGCCTTCAGGACGAGGCTGTCCCGCTCAGCCTTGAGCACGTAGGTGCCGCGCAGCTCACACCGCTCTGCGGCCTCGGTGCGCTGCACTGTCACCCAGAAGGCGTTCACTGCGGGGACAGGGCTGTCAGGGCAGGGCAGGGGAGACACGGCCCCAGCCCCAGGCAGTGCCCCCCACAGCCCCAGCAGCGGGGCAGCAGTAGGTCAGGCCCCACAGAAGATGGCCCAAGGTCAGGGCAGTGGCAGGTCCCACCTTCGTCTCTCGAGTAGTAGATGGAGTTCACGGCCATCTCCAGGGCCGGCACCTCCTCGCTGCCCTCTCTGCCATGCTGTGCCACCATGCCAGCATCGCTGGAGCCGCTTCCCTGACAAAGGAGAGCAGATCAGCCCCAGCTTCCTCTTCCCACATCAGCCTCTGGGCCCCTTGGCAGCCACTACCTGCAGCCCTTCAAGGCCTGAGCCCCACTGCCCTCCCCAGCCCCACACATCCTGGCTTTCCTTCACCCATTCCCAGCCTGTCCAGAGCTGGCGACAGACCCCAGGGCCCCCTGAGCCAACATGAACATGGACAAACAGGGCCAGGCAGCACAGAGAGGGCTTCCTCAAGCAGGACCCTGGCCCCAGCTGGGCTCTGGGTTGACAGGACGAAGGACAGAAGCTCCTCTCAGCAGCATTACCCACAGAGCTGCCCCCAAAGCACCACACGGCCCAGTCACAGGGAGGGGTGGGACAGGGGCTGATGACCCAGTAGCACAGGGGTCTGTGTCCTGCCCTGCACAGGCAGAGGGGGGACCCCAGAGAGGAAGTAAACACTTCTATTTTAGCACATGCAGAACTGAAAGACAGACCGTCAGCGACCATGTCCCAGCAGCAAGGCCCCCAAAGGGCCTGGGGGAACACAAACCCTCAGTGCTACTGAGCTGTTCCTCAGGGCTGCGTGGGAGGGGGCTGCAGCAGAGGGTACATCTTGCAGAAGGCAAGCTCCCAGAGTTTCAGTTTAAAACCCAGACACACGAGCTTCTCAACAAGAGACAAGGTCCAAAAAGGGCCTTCCAGCCCTCATGTTTGGCTCCTAAATAGAAAGGGGACTGTTAAAACCTCACGTCCTTTGAGCAGACACCAGCAGCTCCCACTCAGCTAGAGCATCCAGTGCAGCAGGACTCCAGCCTGAGATTGGGAAGTCAAGGGCCACCTGACCTGCTAGAGCCCTTTAGGGCTCCATTTGACTGCACTTTTCCTCATCTTCAAAAGGAAAAAATTCTGTTTTGAACTCCAAACGATGTCTGGACCCAGTTCCCAAGCTACTGGACGCTGCTTACCTTCTGGGCAGCAACATGACACAAAATCACACTCTCCACGCAGATGACCAGAAATCACAGCTGAGCATCTCCAGCTCTGTGCAGAGAGGCCACGCGCAGCTCTTGTGCCTCCTGCTCCAGGTCAGGCCTTTCTAGAACATATGCCAGCCTTGTGGCCTTTTGCTCACCACTTCCTAAACTGTCAGCTTGCTTCTGGACCTCAGGTATACAAACGAAGGCTCCCATGTGAGGAACGGCACAAGCACACCCCTGCTCCAAGCAGGTGCTCCCCAGCCTGGCCACTACCCTGCCCCACTCCAAGGGTGTGTGCTGTGTCCCCAGCTCAGCCCCACAAGCCACTTTCAGGGCAAAGGCTGCAAACCCAACTACACCAGACAGACACAGAGTCATTTCCAGCACCACACCAGTGCCTCTTGGCCTGGTCAGCCCAGAACCTGGTGCACAGACACACTTGGCCTGGTAGCAGACTGCAGGGAGATGCAAGAGGGACAAAGGGAAATAACACTCAGCAAACACCTGGGTCCTTGTGGGGAGATCCTGGGATCAGCAGCTGTGCAGCCAGTCGTCCTGCCAGGCAGCCCTGCCCAGCACTACCATCCTGGTATCAGCTGGAGCCCAACCCAGGGCTCTGCAAACACCTCCCAGGAGGGAGAGCCAAGACCATGGGTCAGGCAGGCATGGATCAAGACGACCACGCTCACAGGGCACCCGCTGCCCAAACAGCCTTCGTGGCTCACACTGGCTGCCCACGGCTCCAGGGGCTGCAGCAGACTGGAGGCTGGAGGGCTGTGCAGGAGGCCCAGCACAGAAGGAGTGAGCCACAAGGCTGGGCGAGGGGGTGCACTGGCCCTGAGGATCCCAGGAACCAGGTGGGTCCCAAAGCCAGGCAGGCCCTGGAGCCAGGCACTGCAACGCTCTCAGGGCGCTGCTTCCGCTGCTGCTGCAGCAGGAAAGGCAGGGGTGGTTGTGCTACGAGAAACGCTCCTCGGCCATCACCTGGCCCCCCACCAGGTCTGTGGAGGGGCAAGTAGGGGCTCTGTAGGAGGGAAGAAGAGCCCAACTTGAAATTTGGAGCTACAACCACGAATTACCGACAACATGCTGAGGAATCCGGCAACCCAGCTGACTGCTGGCACAGCAGGAGCCAACAAGAGGGGACCAGAGTCCCAGGGCCGGGTGCTCTAAATCTGGGACCACTGGCTCTGCCTCAGGGTCTCCTTTCCCGTGCCGCCAGGGCCTCCTGCTGGGTGGGAAGGGATCGCTCCACCACACACACACACTCTGCCGTTCGTGTCCCGTCCCCTCCGGCGCGGGCCGCCTGCAGCTCCCTCCTCCCCGGGCAGCCCCCGCCCGCACCGCGCTCACCGCGAAGGC